TCCGATATGTGGACATTGGTCATTCAAAAGTTAGCCCAACACGGAAACTTCCCATTACCAAACCTAGTGTAAATATAACCTGGTCAGTAAAGTGTAAAAATAAACAATAAACGTATTTTTTTTTTTGATAACTTTTTCTCCTTTCTTTTTTTAATTGAAAAATGATAAATGGCATGTTAAGTTCTATTTGAATATAAAAATTTATATTACAAAAAAAAAATAAATTTAAAAAAAATTTTTTTGAAAATTGAAAGCAAACTCTGTTCGAATGTTAATTTAGAATAAAAAGGAAATGAATTTTTAAAAAAAGAACCTTCTATTCGAATATATAATTTAAAATTTTTAAAATTAAAAATTCTATTCGAATGTAAAGTACAAAGAAAAAAATTCTTAATCAAAAAGAAGATTTTATCTGAATGTAAAATTTTTATTTAAAAAATTCCATTCGAATGTTAATTTTAAAAACAAGTTTAATTTAAAAAAAAAGAAAGTCCTTTTCGAATATGGCATAGCTAAGAAATGATTTATTTGTAACTATTTTTACTTCAAAAAAAAAAAAAAAAAATTCAAAAAGTATTAAAAAATGAATTTACACAATAACTGATTGTCGAGATTTTCGAATATGACATAACTAACAAATGATTTATTTATAACTATTTTTATTTAAAAAAAAAAAAGAAAAAATTTTTTTGGAAAAAATATAAAAAAATGAATTTGCACAGTTATTGATTGTTAAAAATTTAAGCTTCCCTTTTCTCCTAAAATTTATCAACTTTCAAAATAAGTTGGATTATAATTTTAATCTCTTTAAAGTGAATTACTGTAAAATGGAAGCAAACAGAAGCGAAAAGAAGAAAGAAGTAAAAAAAAAAGAGAAAAAGAAGTAAAGTAAAAAGAAATTTTAGAAGTAAAAAAAGAAAAATAAAGCCAAAAGTAGTAGAAATCACAAAATATAAATTAGATGAATTGAGCACAAAGAAAAAAAAATGTTATGATAGATTGAAAAGGGTAAGAAATGAAAAATAAAATTAAAATAAATTGTATTTATATGATTAATAAGAAAAAGTCTATTAGCTATTAAGCTATTATTTTCTAGTACTTTCCGATTATACTTTTTACTATATAAGCATAAGCATTAGCATAATTTATAGTTTAGACTAAACTATAGATTTGATTAAATTATTATTTGAAAACGTTTATATGACAAGAAATTATACAATTTCAACTGTTCCTTTGTACATATTGAAAAAATAAATCACAAAAAACTCAACAAAAAAAATTTTATTCCAAATCCTAGGCTTATTTTAGGCAAATTACATTTATGTTTGCTTAATCGATACGATCAATTTTACCCCATTTTATTTTTTTTTTTTTTTTTAAAGATATTCTCAACAAATTAATTAGCAAGAAATTGTTTAGATGATATAATCCTTTAGAATTTACTAATTCACTGATTAATTTGCTCATTTAATTAGTCCTATTTCATGAGTATTTAACTTATTGTTTACATTTCTAGGGGAATAGTTCCAATTATCGGATATTGTCATTAGCACTCAAATTTCTCTTCTTTACCTTTGTATTATACTAAACAAAATTATCATATCGCGTCATATTTCGTAATTTTTTGCAATTTCGATTCTCTTTCTTTTTTTTTTTGCAATAAATTAAGAACTTTATTGAATTGCTTGATTGAAAGCCTTTGAATGTCTTCAATTAGAAATGTCTTGAAGAGATTGAAGACATTAGAATGTCTTCAATCTTCAAAATTTCGCAACTAATCTTTAAAACTATTTCCTAGATATCATCCTTTTCAAATATATATTGACTTAAAATGTACTTTTGACTACTATTACAACCACAGCTTATTTTTTCCTGAATGTATTAAATTTCATAGGATTTACTTCAGAATATTAACAATATGAAACTTTAGTAAACATATATAGTGTTTGCATAGTTCATAAGAATTTTCACTATTTTTTGGTGTAGTTTAGGCACATTTATAATTTATCCATGAAAATAGATGTCTGAGTTGTACATTAAAAAGTTTATGAAAACTTGAAATGTATGATTTTTTATTTTAAAATGGAAATTAGAACTATGACAATGAAGGATCAAATTTGCAAAACGCAAAATTAAATTTAATTTACAACACCGTTGTCTATTGATCAAAAAATAATGTCATTTTTTCTCAAATGAAATTAACACAACAGAAAATTTCAATTCTTAATTCCATTATAAAGCGCTATCGAATTTTTCATTCCCCTTATTTCCCCTTTTTTTTAGCAATTTTTTTTCAGTTTTTTCATTCCCTTTTTTTTTAGTCAGCTTCGCATGTAAATTTTTAATCTAATTGTTGCAGTCAATTCAGTAAAGTGATGCAGAGGAAGTGCTATGAAAGAAATCATTTTACAGATGATGTCAGAAAAGATTACTAGATTACTTACTAAAGGTTTTGAAAATGACAAAATACAATGATGAAAAAAATAAAGTGGAAATCTATAAGTAAAATATCAAACTTATTTGAAGACTACTTCCCATTAGATTCAAATAAATGCAATGTCTGCGAAGATCAAACATTACCAAGCGTATATCGCCCAACATAAAATCAAAAAAGACCCTTATAAAATGCATCATATTTAATGCATCATCATTATGTGATAAACCACCTATATTATAAAACTGAAAGTCAAGAAGATTGTACTAAAAACGCGGAAAGTAAATACGACATTAAAGAACACCCTAGACTCATGACAATTAAAATATCATTGAATCGTATGCATCAGCAGAAATTTCATTATCTGTTCAAATTGATATTGGCCAGATGTTCGGCTGCCCGGTTCGTAATATTTAGTGGTGGATATAGGATTCGTAAATTGGGCTCATGCAGCAAAGATAATGCGGATATGCTGTAGCATGTGTGCAAGGCGTCTAGAATTATAAAATTATGAACAATTGGGATGGGTAATTAAAAGGGGGAAAAAATTCCTTGTTTCTCTCACGATCCAGGAAATTTGCCCAAAAGAAGAAAAATGAAATTTGATCATTGCTGCAGAAAACAAGTAAGGAGAGTTATAATCTGAAACCAAGTAAACGCAGCTACTTTTCTTGTGAACATTATTTGATCATGAAGAGAAATACAGCCGAACTTACATTTTTGAGATAAAAATCTTAACATACCGGGTACAACATCGCTAAACTTGCCGAAGCCTCCTAATTGTCGATCCTGAGTTGAGTAAATGAAGGATCGCAGTCGTTCTTTATCTACGAACATATAAGCATCCAAAATCTGAAAAAAATATTTTGTTCAAAGCAGAAAATTTAGATAAAAAATGAAACATTCGGAAAATTAAAAGTACACCGCAAAAGAATTTCCATCATTATTGGCAAAGGTGAACTGAATATCGACTATTCTAATTAATAACTATGTTAAGAAAGAAAACAAATACAAAGGACATAAAGGAAATGAACGTTATTTACTTTCCAGTAAGAAATCTAAAATTTCATACCTTAAGTGTTCCACCAATCCAAAATGCATAACAGCTGTCATCTGGTTTATTAGCTCGACCATGAAAACCTTCGTCTTGCTTCCATAATGCCCATTTTACAAGTTTTTCAATTTGTTTATGCGTCAGAACACTCTCATCCCATAGATGTCCTGCCATTGCTAATGCAGCTATAGCACAAAATGTTGAGCCTCCTGAAACTCAGAATACTTTTTACAATAATACTGATGATAGCAAAAATTATATTAACATCCATTTACCAGCTCTAAAGCGTCTTATAACACCAAGCATTTACAGTGTCAAAAGCGAACTGAATGCTGAATTCGACTAAAAAAAACGTTTCAATTCACAGATTTATGTCAAGTACTACTCACTCCTTACGTTTGCCTTTTTCTACATTTACGTTCTTCAAACGTAAAATGGTTGCTATTCATTTTATACTTCCATGTTTTTCCGTTAAGTTTTATCTTCATTCCAACTGTTTTATAGCTTCTGCAGATCTTTTGTACCTCCCTGTCTTCAATTCATCTTAAATTAATTCAATGAGAGGAAATGGATAGTGAAAATATGTCCATTTGCTTGGGAAAATCCTTTTCATAAGATTCCATTCCGTTATTAGAATAACTTTTAAAAAAAAGTGCTAACCATGACTTTCAAGCAAAGGCGCTTGACCGATACCACCGTCAAAATTAACACATCGCTGAATAAAATTCAGCACTGCTTTCATGTCAATTGTACTGAAATCATTCAATATATGGCATATTGCAATTGCACAATACACAAAACGCATATCATTTTCGGTTCCTTGCTGTCCTCGAAAACTGAAAATAATAGTTTTTTAAGTACTTTGCATGAAAGAAATTTCTCCCTTATTTTTTTTGGAGAAGTATGATATTCGAATATTCTATAGGAGGACAATTTCAAGATCCCTTTCTTCAAAATCGTTAGATGGTTACTCAGCGAAATACAACTCCGCCGATGACGCTACTTTCTTTTATCTACCCTAATCTACGGTAATTAACGAACAGAAAATCTTGAAGCCTTCCATTAAAATACTCATTATTGTTGAAGCTAGAGAAAATAGGCAAGAGCACAGAAAGTGATAAGACCAATAGTTATAAATTCGACTTGTTCCATTCACGCAAAAACCCCAAATTAAAGATTTGAAAAATAAAAAATTCAAACCTTCCATCACTAAGCTGGTCATAACATATTCCTTCCAACACAGCTTTCCTGTCTACTCGACTTAAATCGTCTCCCAAAATCAGTAAGCAGCAAAGAGCTACATAGGTTTGAGATATGTGTGCACTATCATACAAAAAGTAATTCGATGTAGTGGAGGTACCCGATTTTGCAAGATTTACATCACCACCACCACAATTTCCCGTATCGTACCATGATGGCTTAGAAAAACTAAGAGATCCGCGAAATCCATACGCTTCTTTTGGACAACCTACAAAATGAAAAGTCAGGTTAGGGTGTGAGAGAAAAGTTACAAAAATAGAGATCAATAATAACATTTTTGAAATTTATGCTAATTTGTAATAATGTTGATTTGAAAAGTATCTCAAAAGTGTAATACAAAAATGACGAATGTACAGAAAGATACCTTCCTATCCGAAATGCAAGCAAACATGTTGATTGGTGAAAACAATATAAATAAATGAGATTTTATCATATTAGACACACATAAATGAAACAGAACAAATATGGAAGAAAACAAAACCATGAATTTATAGCATGCAGTCGACGGTTAACATATATAAAGAAATACTGAAGCATAGAAACTGTAATAGTCTCAAAGATCTTTAACCTCTTTAATCAAACAAGTGAAAATCCCAGTTTAATACGTGAAACACAAATTTACACACGTATTTACAGAATTATTCATATATATAATGGTTACTTCGTTACTTCAAGTTTCCGTCATTTTTTTTGTTCCTGTTTTCACAGCTTCAACAATTCAGCAAAAACAGTGTTTTCCATAGCCATAACTTATCCATTCTTTTCATAACTTTATTAACAAAAATTTCCATAGGGAAGAAAAAAACTTCAATGTTATCAAAAACCTAAATGTATTTCTGTATGTTAACTTTATCTGATGAGATTTTGATAAAGCCTGCTGCAAAAAAAAAAGTGGAAAAAAAACAGAAAAAAATGCGTTACACAAACAAGATTGAATTCTTCAGTAGAAATACCTATCCCAACCCTGTAATACAATCTTTGAAAAAAGTTGCTCGTCGGCAACATCTCTCACTATTTGTGGCTCAGGACAGCTATTTTCAGGATTTGTATCCAGTGGCTGTAATGCTACGGCATTAGTTTCCAAAGAAAAATTTCCTGAAGCATCAAGATCAAGTTCCACATCAAAAATGTTCACTTTTTGCTGATGCCTACCAGGACGCACATTACCCGACCTAAAAAGTTTTTGTAAAATCTACCCGAAAACTTAAAAAGTGTAAGACAGCAAAAACTGCAAAAACTAAAAGATTAATAAACTGTGAGTAAAAAAAAAGTTTAAATAATAGGCAAACCATATATCTGAATACCAAGTTATTCTAGCATACTTTGCACAAGATCACTATTATTTCATATTTTCGTTATCAAAGTTACTTATGCTGCTCAGTTATATGTTCCAAAATAAAAACTAGCAAGAAAATCGATGAAACTTACCTTGTCATACCAAAAGTGCTAGAATCAACTATATCTTGCACTTTCGGTGCTCCTCTCCATAACATTTTCTCTGATAGATCTTGATCATTCTGGATACTGATCTGTTCATACCACAGGCTTCCATCATCCATCATTCGGAACAAAAACGACTTTTCATTAAGGGAATCAATATCAGTATTCAGGAAAGAAATGGCTCGAGTTGGTCCACTTCCGAATAAGACCTTTTCAGCTAAGCGTGGAATTCGTACGTTATACTTGGGTTGCTCTCGATAAAATGCAGCTGCACTACAAGGTTCTTGCATTCGTTTGATCGATGCCAGTGATGACCACATCGTACTGTCCGCGTGACGATAGAGGGAAAACGCTTGTACATCAGGATATATAGTATGTTGCAAAACGTAGATGGGATAAATAGTACCATTTCGATCAGTATCTCGAATGGGTGGAGCACTCGTAACGTGATGTCCGCCATGATAGACGCTATGAGCCATTTCCAAACAAACAAGTCCACGCATTCGTTCATCCACAAGCACAAACCTTCCAATTGTTTTAAAATTCATACTTTCGATGTTTTACTAATGTATCTAGCCTTAATCAATTTGAAACCTAAACTCACTGGCAAGAAGACTTTAATCTGAAAAAGCAAAACCTTACTTTTTCGATGTACAAATAAGAAGCATTTGCGGTACATTAGGCAAACTGCATAACTGATGTATACTTGGCTTCTCAAAAGCACCTTTGTATTGGTAATGATAAGAATTCCGTGATGTATCATCATATTCAGGAACAGTATAGAGCAAGTTACCTGTAATTATCTAATTTTTTTTTCGAATCGTTACAGTTGATGCGTCTTTTTGGAATTCAGAACATCCAATAAATTCAGCCTTAGACTTCCATCCACTATTAATTTCATTTCAATCCATTTATTTTGATTTTCACTTGAGTTTTATAATCAAATAATTCATGAAATAACTAAGTTCTAACCATCCGGAATGCCAACTCTTAAATCAATCAAATGAACACTGTCTTTGCCAGCTGCATATATTAATCGGGGATGGTCCGATCCAGCTATTGACTGCAACAAATTTAGTACAAATAGGGAATAAATGGTAGAAAAGTGTACCGCAAATATCTGCCGCACGTATTTCTTTCACCCCATTATACTGACGATAACGTGACGACTTAATTGTTGAAAATAAAATGATACTAAATTCAAATGAGAAATTAAAATTCCATTTCCTGCTTTAAAAAATTTTAACTTCGAGAAACGAAATATCCAAAAAAATATGAGAAGATACTGACCTCAATATCACAGCCACACTTTGCATGAATAAAATTCTGACCCACTTCCCCATACCAAATTAAGCCACCATCATCAAGAAACACAATTTCATCGTTCATATATGGTATGAATGACAGAGAATGGACAGGATGATGAAAAAGTGTCAACACAACGTTATTTGCTGGATCGCAAAGATACAACTCTTTTTCGCTGCGAGCCAGGATTCGACATCTTTCGCCACTGGGCTTATAAGATCGAAGCTCGAGCAATGCAGTGCTTACATCTAACGTTCGACAGTATTTTCGATTATTAGAAATAGGATTATAAATCTGCTGCTCTCTAAACATATCACCTTCAACACACGAATCCCAGTTTCTCTCCGCCATTTCTGTCCCTTCGGAATCATGAATCCCTTGATCTTCATCTCTATCATACAAAATCCTCCATTCGTCAAATTCCGCATTTCTTTCCTTTGAAAGATGCAAACGAAATTCCAACAGTCGCTTCCTTGTTGAAAGCTCACTTACAGACCACAGTGTCACTGAACCATCAGCAGGATCTTCTAGCACTTCCAGCAGATTCCTGTTCTTCAGTCGATTACTCTGAGTTTCAAAAGGCCAATGTCCTGTGTGTCGCAATGCCATACAATCACGAACCCATGGCAATGTTCGGATTAAAAGTTGTGGGAAACCCAATGAATGAGGAATCATATGAGGTCGTCGCCAGTGATGTGCAAGATTGTACTGCGATACGTAAAAATCTTCACTTGAACAACTGGGTCCTTGATCCTGAATACTAGGATTGACCCTGATACCACCAAGAACGGAACATCCTGTATCCAGAAATCCAAAATTTGGGGCTCGCGGTGCACAGAAGCCCATTTCTTATAAAAAAAACTCTAAAACATTTAAAAATTCCATAAAGCTTTGAGCATGTCAAATCATAGAAAAGAAAAAAATACAACAGAAAAAGCAAGAGTAAATGATACGAACTAGAAGTAATGAATTGAAATATACAGCAAGAGTTCTAAAAATGCCAACAAATCATTGAAAAGATATATATAAATACATAAACTTCTTTAGAAAAAGGAAAAAAACACACGTATTGCTTGCATTTCGCAAATATATTTTCACCCAGGCACTGATATTTTTTATAAAAACCTAACCAGAATCACTTTTCAACTGCAAACGATAAATCCATTCGATAAGTTTTCTTCTTAATTCTGCATCCACCTCTTCCTCCAATTTCCCCAGCACGTCAAGTGTCGATAAAGTGAAATAAAGAATTGTGGCTCTAAATTAAAAAAGTTTTACAAAGTCAGAATCAACAAAAATTTCAAGAGCAAATTTCAATAAATTTGAAAATCCAAACTGGAAGTAAATTTGAAGCCTAAACTAGGAGTAAATTTAAAAAATCCTGCGAAACAAAAACAGATGTAGCAAATGAGTATATATACATTTTTTTTTAATGCTTTATTTATTTAAAAATTCCTTACGGACTTCCTGATACTTGACCTTTCTTGATCAAAAGTTAAGAGCAAAGAGCGAATACGAATAAATATGAGTTCCATTCGCAGCAATCATTCTAAAATGATTACCTATTCGAGTCAAAACTTCGATAATTAGCAGGTAAAGCAACAAGATGTTCCCGTAGAAATTTTAAGTGTTGTGAGAGAAGAAGTGCTCCAGACATAAACAAATCTGTAAAAATGACATGAACCATACAAAATAACTTCTCAAATACCACAATTTTCATAAAACAATAGTTGAATTTGAAAAGCTCAACCAAAAAAGAACACATCACTGTAATTTGAAAAAAAGGATACTGGGTATCCTCCAGTATTCGACCATCCAAAAGCCCTTTTATCCTACATCTGTTTTGATAAAACAATTCCCCTGATGAGCTAGTTTTATCTCACTGACGCTACATAATTATCATCAATCATTACAACTGATCATTTTTCTGAGAACCCACATGTCCGGATAACAGACAACGGTATATGATCTCGATCTTACTTGTCAATTTTTACTAATCAAGATAATCTATTCTCTTCTTTCCATTATCTCACCAAATATGTACCAAATATGCAGTAAATTAAAAAAAAAGAAAAAAATTAAGCTATTTCGATCTATCAACTGGCACAAAATTCCAAGAAAGAATAAAACAAGGACGGAATAACATTCTTATTAAGTGAGCCAAAGTCAGAGATAGATATTACGCTTCAATCAAGGATTAGCTTATATACTGTAATCCAACAAGTCTTGATAAAATTACGAAAAAAAAATGTAGAACACATACAAGCAAAGAAGTTTATGGCCAACTCACCGAAAGATGGTGATGGTAAGCCATGAAAAATGCATAGTAACGGTAGAGTTTACCATGAAATGACAAAAATCTACGAATTTTTATGGAATGAAATTTTATAGATTGCAACAAAATATTTAACAATAACAAAAATATTATGTCACAAGAATATTTTACAATTTATCAGTTATCATCTCACCAATAATAAAGCCATAAATTTCCTGAAGGTATCCATATTTAGATCTTTTATTGCGTCGAGATTTTCCGTAAACTTTCCGGGCTTATACAATTGAAGTCCTAAAATAAACATAAAAATCGAATTATTCTTTATTTTCAAGGATAATAAAGTCCAATTTGTTTTGATGACCTTTAATCTACATGTGTTCCCATCAAAATAAATTGAAAAATGTTGGCAGGGAAAAAAAATCCAATAAAAACGAAATACTTTACCTGGTTCAATCCAAACAATATTTTTATACTGACTATTAGCTCCTAAATCGAGTGTATTCAATTGGAACACAACTAAATCCAATCTACCATTGACAAGTTGCACAGCACGTGTAACAACTGGTTGGTCCGCGAGATTTTCAAATTTGGATTGGCCATGTCGTGTTGCTTGCGCTATTGCCGCCGCAAAGCACATCATTATCGCCTTAGCACCTAACTGTTCGCTAGAAAAATATATCTGTGTAAAATATTGGTGTACGTGTTCAGTAGGAAAGAAACATCATTTTGGCTTGGACCGAAACATTTATACAGTATTCGAATAAACTAAAGCTCTTTGCATTACAAAAGTTTCATATAAGACCTAAAATTTGAAATGACGGTGGTAAAAAACATTTTCATCGAAAGTCTTGAAACTGGTTTGGATCTTTCTTCTTCAGTGACAATTCATGTTTAACAATATCTTCATTTGCCGTCTTTTCTACAGTACTCTACGTCATGGTAAAAATACAAAGTAAACATAAAACTTTACTCATGAATATATCCCTAATTTCACTTATATAGACTACTCATTCCTTAGCAAATCAATCCACCACATAATGCACTTATAATGAAAGCAAAATAAAACCTGAAACCATAAGTTACTAATACAGAACTTATCACCAAAATAGCATATCACCGCATATCACCAAATGTGAATTAATGCTTAGCTGCGAATCAGCATTCATTGACAAACATTAGTTAAGACAGCTGATAAGATCATGCAAACAAACTGCATAGGTTGATATAACTTACATTGTCCAAGGGTATTTTTGGTCTTGTTCATGGCACCACATTACCATATCAACAAACAGATCCTCCTTAGCTCGTGGCAGTACCACACTATCGTTGTAAATATGATCCGAAGTGAGATCGATTCGAGGATTAATTGGTGCTGTATTAGGTACCCGTATGTTACTTAATCTGGAAATTGAAAAAATTAATTAACAAAATTTACAGGCGTAACTGAGAGCTACTCTTCCATGCAACTTGTGCCTTTTAAAAGACAGTTGCAATTTCTAAGACACTTTGGGGCGGAGCAGGAAAAACGTTGTTTAAACCAAGAATGAAAGGGGAGGATTCTGTCGAACGCTGAAGAAAGGATTTATTATTCAAAGCAGTGCACAAATAGTTCTCATTGTTGGATTAAAACTAAAAATTCTTTTCCGCTAATTTAAAATGAAAAAAAAAAACCCAATAAGTACGACAAAAATTACCCGATAGCTTTCGTCCAGGGTCTAATAGGTTCTGAAGACTGAACAATGATATGAGGTTCTGAACGAAGAACGAACGGAATTTTTTCATTCTTCATAATACTGTCAACTCGTAACATTGCACTTAATGGTTCATCCCGATCATATCTAAAACTAATTTAAAGCCTCAAAATGCACATAATCTGTTTATCCGATTTCTGATATGTCGCACCGATGATATAAAACAATAAATGACCTCCGATTTTATCTGAACTTACTTTCTATGCAAATTACAGATATGTGAATATTCCCGAACTAATCATGCATTAGAACGAATTACTAAAATTTTAACATAACATACCTAAGGTTTAACAACTGTGAATGCTGCAAAGCCATAAGATGTGCAGTGCGAAACAGATTATCCAAAATTATTTTCCTGAAATCCATAATATCTGTTAAACCATGCCATAACAAATGAGGGATTGATATTGGAGTATTTTCTGCTGAACGGACATCAAATAGGCCGAAATGAGGGGTAACAATCTTTTGCAATATTTGCTTCATGAAAGGAAACGTCCTATAAAAATCTTTTAGGAATAATATATGCAGAAACAAAACGCACCCTCTTGTTAACAAAGGAGTACCGTGTACACGATATGGAAAATAATTTGTCCAAAAAATGACAGGATCAAAAAGGCGAGGCAATTTTTCCAACGTTGGATCATATCGCTCCCCATGCATTATACAGTCATTTAGATGATCCTCGAAACCTTCAGAAAGTGGTATTTCAGAAGCCTAAAAGTAACCAGTGAAGCTACTGAGTATGGTAGTGATATATATATATATATATATAATGTAAAATATCTAAGAATCCAAAAAGAACTGAATTGTGATAATACTGGCACAATCATTACTTACTCCGGGAATAAGATTCGCGATCAAATGTATGGTAATATTTATAAATCTATTCCTCGAATTTACAAGCATACCAAATTTAAAACAGCTTCCGGAAAACCAATCCTTTTGACTGCCTTCGACAGAGAGCAGGCCTGATCGATTCCATCAGTAAATGCTACGGTGCCATCAAAAAGGGAGCATTCAACCGATTTATAAAGCGGATGTTCCTTAAAATTTATATCAAGCAATTTTATATGCAAAATGTTCGAGAATCCAAACTTTCGACAGCAACAGCCAACTTGCTTTTGTTCATTTGATTTCAATAGTGAATTTGGAAATAAATGAAAATCGTTACATGAAGTTGTGGTATTCTGTGAGCAGGATGAGGGACGACTGGTAATTCTTGTATTTCTGTTGAAAAGAATTTCGGATCCTTGGGGTCATATATTTTGAATCCTGCTTCCTAGAATTCTGGTCACAAAATTGCCATTGAAAGCAAGTTTCCGGTGATTATTAATCACAAACCTTTCTTAAAAAGGCTAATTAAAAAAATAAAATAAGTAAAAAGGACAGAATCAGCTAAATTTGAAATTGAATTAGAAAACCATTTAAATTTCATGGCGCTAAAAAAGCTCCACTTACCTTTACAGCTGGAGGAATTGAAAACGGTTGCATTTTCCGTTTATTTCTAGCTCTCAGGATATTTTTAAATATCCGTGTATCCATCTTCCCCCATTGTTTTAGCGGTTTGAATTTCCGGAACACCATTGGACAAGCTTCTCCAGATTCAGTGTGCACATTCAAAGAAGAAATCTGCAAATTATTCAAATTAAAATCATGTTTAAAAAACAAATCTCGATTGAAATCTTAGAAAAAATTAACAAAAAACAAATCTTGTTTAAAAAATAACACTGTCTAACTATATATATATATATATATATATATATATATATATATATATATATATATATATATATATATATATATATATATATATATATATATATATATATATATATATATATATATATATATATATATATAT